TTACTGCGAAACGGTGTTCTTGTTTATAGGAGAATATACTTACCGTTCACAGCACAACCATAAATTCCCACTCTCATACAAATCCTGTTATGCCAGCTTTGTGTATGAAAGCGCAAATATCGCGTCACCAGTGAAGTCGAGAAGAAATGAAAAACAGTGGAGTTCCTGTCTACATTCCCCGTAATCACCTGAAATTAATGCTGCAGTTAACCATCGGTTAATGCATCAATCGCTCAGTTTCGGTCAGTCTCCCCTAACATGCGGTTTAGGGGATGAAATTCGGCTGAAGTGACGGATCGCATAAATTATTACCTGTGAGCGTGGCGGATTCTTTGTAGCATGCGAACGCAGACGTATCTCCGGTCGTTGCTTCTCTCCTTCCCGGTGGAGACAAGCGACGACCGGAAATACGTTTGCGTTCGCAGGCTACAAAAAAATCGTGCCTAGGCGATCTTTGCAAGCAAAGATAATTTCTCACGCCCTATATAACGTCTTCTCCCATACAGGGTGCTCACCTCTTTAAAATCACTTCCTCCCGGTTAGAGTTCGGTAAAGCCGCTTTTTTGAGATGCCAATCTTTCTTTTATAAGCTTGTGCGTGCTGTCTTATTAGCATTAGTTGTAGGGAAGTAACCCCAGACGAGCAAGTTCGCTGGGGAAGACACGAAGGTGCTAATAATGTAAGCAGAACTCGTGGGTGGGTGGGTGGGGCCGACTCCAACTAAAGTTAGTCAAACCGACAACTGTGAATAATTGACACATGATCATATGCTATCCGCGAAGTCTAATAAACAAAAATAAGGTATAAATAGGGCAGAAATAATACTCATTTCCGTGGCCTTAACGCTCATTTTTGTGGCTTCGTCGCTTATTGTTGTGCCTTTGTTAATCTTTTTTCGTGGCGTCGATTTAAATCATAACTATATTATTTAAAGTAAGGCAATTGACCTTTCCTCCGGCATACTGAATCCATGCTCGATCATCTAGACTATAATCCAAGGAAAAGTACTTCACCCAACTGTCAGAAGATTTTTGACCCTGAGTTGCCACACCAGTAACAATACTCTCACTAGAAAGCTTAGCCTGAAACCAACCAAAAAAAAAATATGCGGGGTGGATATTTTATTCAGTAAGCTAAGGGAGCACGGGAAATTAATGTGAGTTTGATGATGTCGTCAAAAACTAAAGCAATTGTTCACTTTCTGTATTCATATGTTCACCGGGCTTAAAAATTTGGCAGTGGTAGAGCACCTGGACAGTAACTAGACGGTCATAGGTTCAACTCCTGCTGGGAGAACTCAGATTATTTTCTTCGGAGCTACCTGTGTCACTGACTGAAAAAACAACATTCTCGATTGTTGACTTACAGTGGAACCTCCACTGACGGCCACCTCTCCACAACTGGGTCATTTTTGGGCGGACAGTCCATACATTCATTAGGCTGATTTAGCAACAGAGCGAGCACGTCAGTTGACGACAGCGCGCGCAAATCAAACAACTAGCTTGACCAATGGCTGAGCAGCAAACTGGGCATCGGAAGGCGAGTTTAGTCCTTTTTGCGCGTTTTGCCGTCGTCCAATGATGTTCCCGTACTGTTGCTAAATCAGCCTCTTGTTTGTCTACAACGGCCATCTCCCTACAATCACCACTTTGTTCTGTCCCCGAGGTGGCCGTTGTAAAGACGTTCAACTTTACTTATGTTGTAATCCATAATGTCACTTCAGACCTGGAGATATTGGTCAACATTCTGTTCCTGAGCACACCATGCACCAGATCCAAGCCCCGAATGTAGGTAGCCATATCCTGGTAAACTAAAACCTGCACTGGATGAAGCACTGAAAGTCGATCTAAGGTGATCAGAACATTCTTAAAAAGAAAAAGATAAAATTTCTTAATAGGCCGTTTGCACGAAGACGTCTTTTTGACTAAAGCCCCATTCACACCAAAGCTTAAACATGTTTAAAGACTGTTTAGTTCAACATGGTTTAAAATTGTTTCCATCATAAAAGCTGTATATTGACTTAAGTTGCTTGTCAACTGTGCAAATTTAGTGCAAATTACAAAATATGCTCAGTTTTCAATGTCTTTTTTTCAAACCTGGTTTAATCATACATGTTTAGTTGGTGTGAATCGGACATAATTTAGATCAGAATTGATTTTACTTTTTTTCCTTCAAATTTAAATTTGGCAACCCAAAGTATTGAATAACAAAAGCCCTAGTTTGTACAAGAAAAAAAAACTCTGAAGGATTCTGGAACCCCGTTGAACAAATTTTTGAACGAACAAAAAGCATGCACGGATCTGCCTTTCGTTTACAAGAGACCCGCGGAGCCGTGCAAGATTTTAAACGGCAAACGGTACTGAAATAACTATGTAACAGAATTTGCAGACGGTTCCGTGTAGACGGCTTGTCAGCACTGGTAAAACATTCGTCCCTTCAAAAACTTGACCGGACACATGTCAGTCAGCGGGGTCTAGTGGTAGCAGTATGATGACGTAATCGTGCTGTTTAAACTGTTAAAATGATGCTTGATTGAAACTGCGTTTTCATGCGGACTACAACTGACCACTTATGCATGTATACTACTGGTGCTGCCCCGGGCGAATTGTTATTCTATATGAATGGTCAAAAGTCTATTTGGCAAAGATTATACATGTGGTAATTGTTACCTTCTTTATATCCATACAGTTCTACTCTCAGTGACACCTTTTCGGACCAGCCAAGAGCTTGTACTCGTAAATAACGACATCGGGTTGGATTAAGAACTTCATACATTGTAGATCCCTCTTCCACATTTCCAAAAAATTCCTTGTGCAAACAACAGAAGGAAAAATGGTTATTAGACAATACATAAGGATTAAAATTTGCACCAAAATTCCAGATAAACAAGAACAACGACTACTACTGATGAAGAACAGTTCTGTTTACAGATTCAGTCACTATGGCTGCAAAATACCCTGTTCAAAAAGGTTTTTCTTGATTTTTTTTTTGCGAAGCCATGAAAATTGCAGCCTCGCGGCTCGTTCTCTCTCAAGAGTAGAAAAATATGAAGAAAAAACTCTGGGACTAAGGCACTGTAAAAACACCAAAAATGAAAATATAAATAACGGGATTAATTAATCAATCAATTAATTTCATTAATTGATTAATGAGTTAATAAGGATTCTGCGGACGAGAGGAAAGAAGACAAGACCGTATTAACCTTTGGATATGTAGTAAAAGCCTCATCGAGACTTATTGTGTGCCTTAGTTTGTAAGTTAAGGTGCGGTATGGTTGCTCCGGATGTCCTTGCGTAGCAATTCCAGTCAAGAC